AGTGAATTGTTTTTTACCTGATACTTAACAGACTGTTAAGTATCAGGTAAAAAAGAATTCACTCTGTTAAGTATCAGGTAAAAACAATTCACTCTGTTAAGTATCAGGTAAAAAAACACTTCACTCTGTTAAGTATCAGGTAAAAAAAACACTTCACTCTGTTAAGTATCAGGTAAAAACAATTCACTCTGTTAAGTATCAGGTAAAAACAGTTCACGAGGAATCGAACCGCGTATTTTAGCGTTGAAGCTCCGTAAACTTACCGCTGTCCTTACAGAGGACGTGACATGATTGATACACAGAACAAGTATATTTGTATGTCTAGAAATGTGTTTCTATGTATTTTTAAAACATTATTTTTTTCTCTGTTTATTATAGTTGCTTAAAATTTGAATACATAGCATATTAAATATCATGTGACTCGTATGTAGTAACATATAATTAATTGTAGTAACCTACAGTTAATTAGCAAAACATCTAACGAGCCATTTGAGTAATGAATGTAGCTGAGAAATGTTGTTTATCGATTACAAGTTCCTGGTGGGTTTCGGTTTCATTAAGGTACTGCTAGGCATTCCATATTAATTCTTCTCTCAGAATAACAAAAACTTATGCAACATTTTTATTTTATTTTTACGTAGTTGAGGTACTTGACGTACAAACCTAGCGAATGTCGCATTATGTAATTAAACTTCTAAATTTCATAATTTTGCTTCGTAACGCAAGAATCTATGTATTTATCTTGCTGTTGTATATATTTATAGAGTTGGGAAGCTATAGACAGGAACACGGCAACTTTCACGCCAGATATTTCACCTTTGATGCTCGCGGCCCATCGAAATAATTACGAAATCATCAAAATCCTGTTGGATCGTGGAGCTACACTACCAAATCCCCATCAAGCACGGTGTGGATGCAGGGAGTGCGTGATATCCAGCTCGGAGGACAGTTTGAGGCACTCTCGCTTCCGGATCAACGCTTATCGTGCTCTAGCCTCGCCCTCACTCATCTCACTTTCTAGCAAAGATCCTATTTTAACCGCCTTCGAGCTTAGCTGGGAGCTACGCCGGTTAAGTTTTATGGAGCAAGAGTTCAAAAGCGAGTATCAGGTAAAAAATAATTCACTACGGTTTACACAGCATATAGCCCAATGTAGCTTTGCTCTAAAACAAATAAACACACAAACAATCATGCCATTCTAAAGATAACATATTAAACACCAGAATCTTCCAAACTAAAGAATTTGAAATATTTATGAGTTAAATACACATTTTATCGCCCAAAGTTTCAAAAGCCTACCAACAAAAACTATTTATTATTCAATGTTTCAACATTTCTCATAGCGCTACACATGGGGTTATCTTGCACATAGCTGTCCCTATGTCGGAATATAAACGAGCAAAAAATAAAAGGACTAAATTCAAGTGATGTTATCTTCGCTATTTTACACTGTGCCAATACCTAACGTACGCGTTCTAAAACCTGTTGCATTGTATGCTTTGATTTCTATCTCTAGCAGCATCATAATCGAGAAATCGGGCTCTGAGGAATCAGTATGTAGAACTGTATTACGAGAACTTTGTGGAACTTTAGAAGATTTATTCAGTTGAAACAGTAGTTGAAATGTGTAACGGGAACTTTATGGTACTTCATAGAAGAAACGTAAGATTAACCCGTTCAATAGTAATATCCAACACCAATACTTCCAACCTTATCTTCAATAGTAATATCCAACACCAATACTTCCAACCTTATCTTCAATAGTAATATCCAACACCAACATTTCCAACCTTATCTTTAATAGTAATATCCAACACCAATATTTCCAACCTTATCTTCAATAGTAATATCCAGTACCAATACTTCCAACCTTATCTTCAATAGTAATATCCAGTACCAATATTTCCGTATTAACTCGGATAAGTTCACATAATGATCAACGTCAGTGTCTATGAATACTGTTTTATCGTTTCCGAAAGGTGTAAAAAGTGATCTTTATTAGAAATGTATGCATAGAATACAAATATATATTCATTTTACTGAAGGTATCTTGAGAGCAACAAAATAACTGAAACTATCAACATAAACTGTGTCGACCCCTTGGGCCGTTCCGCCCTACTGATGGCTATAGACAATGAAAACCTGGAAATGCTGGAGTTACTGATTGCATTTGGGATGGAGACAAAAGATGCCTTACTGCATGCCATTAGCGAAGAATATGTGGAGGCAGTGGAGGTATTACTGGAACACGAGGAGAACAGCCATAAAAAAGGGGATCCTCATGTAAGATTACGTTTGATAAAGCTTTACTTTCACAAGTAACCAAATCAAAACATGTATACTGATATAAACATTTATACAACTGATTTATGCTTTAAAGTTCTAAAACATTTTTAGGGTTACTCACGACACTGTTGATGGGCATTCTTTTCGGATAGTAAATTCACATGTTATATTTTATTGTGGTCCATTAAAGATCCAGCTGTATCGTACTTACCTACTTGCTAAATTAAAACAAACTTTTGGCTACACCAAAATCATTAATTTGGTGTTATAAAGTTTGATTTTGTAAGGTTTAATATCTAAAATACAAACGCTATTTTCTAAAATAATCTGTAATTTTTTAAAAATAAATAGTTAATGTTTTTCTGTTATTTCGCGCGTAAACTTAACTTAATCACAATTTTTAATTTAACACACCGATAAAATCTAAAGAATTGTCATGGTATTGAATATAAATACACTGAAAATAAGTCTTCTTTTTTCCATGAAAACAGTGGCACAGCGGTATGTCTGCGGACTTACAACGCTGGAATCCGGGTTTCGATACCCGTCGTGGGCAGAGCACAGATAGCCCATTGTGTAGCTTTGTGCCTAATTACAAATAAACAATAAAAACATTTAACTCAAGATTATAAATATTAAACAGTGAAATATTTGCAAGGCAATGTTTCATCCACGTGTAAACGTAAGCCTAATTTTGAAATGTAGAAAACAGTTACTAAGAGTTCAGGAGAATGTTTTCAAATATAACAACGTAGTGTGTTTTCTCCTTACAATTACTAATCTTACACATCACCTTACACACTCCTACTCCTAAAGTATTAAATATATGTGCTTATTTTCTAATTTTGTGCTTTTTTTTAGCTCAAAACTAAATATTTATGTAGTTTATTTTGATATAAATATTTTGTAAACTAAATATTTTTTTTAAAAGTGAGTCTGTTTTGGTATTATAAGGAATGATACATAGCTTTGATAAAGACTTACAAAAGACGAAAATTATTAGATGACTTATTATCTCAACTGCAAAAATATGCATATTTTGCGATTATCGTCTTATGAGAGAAACTAAAATATATATATATGCACCAATGATTAGGTCATGATCCTAACATTTATCAGCATAACATTTTTCAAAGATTACGTAATAAAGGTTAGGGCGATCGACTCGCGATCTGCGGGTCGAGAGTTCGAATCCTCGTCACCGAACATGCTCGCCCTTTCAGCCGTTGGGGCGTTATTATGTGACGGTCAATCCTATTATTCTTTGGTAAAAGAGTAGCTCAAGAGTTGGAAGTGGGTAGTTTTGACTCTCTCTGCTAAATTAGAGACGGCTAGTGCAGATAGCCCTCTCGAGTAGCTTTGAACGAAATTCAAAATTAACCAATCTAATACGTAATATTTTTTCTAAGGTAGAGTAATATTAATTTGTAAATTTTTCTCAAAAAAGATTGTAGTTAAATAGATTTGTTTCATAGAGATTTGTTATCTAAGTAACCAGTCAAGGAAACAGCCTCAAAATGTTTATTTTCGCTGTTTTGTTTGTATATCATTTCAAACTAATGTTGGTCTATGTTGAGGAACTCACCAAATTCATGTTTCTTATGTTTTTTGTGATACGTTTCAGCTTAAAGTAATTGAATCCTAATTTTTCCTTGTTCCTGTACCGAAACGTTCTTGTGATACATCTCTACATGTTGTTTCAGCTCATGAATTAACTCTACTTTTCCCTGATCAAATACCAAAACATTTTTGTGACACATCTTTACATATGTTAGCTTAATATGAATTAACCATACATTTCCTTGATCAAGTACCAAAACGTTTCCATGATACGTATCTACATCATGTTTCAGCTTAATATGAATTTATCATACATTTCCTTGATCAAGTACCAAAACGTTTCCATGATACGTATCTACATGATGTTTCAGCTTATTATGAGTTAACCATACATTTCCTTGATCAAGTACCAAAACGTTTCCATGATACGTATCTACATCATGTTTCAGCTTAATATGAATTAACCATACATTTCCTTGATCAAGTACCAAAACGTTTCCATGATACGTATCTACATCATGTTTCAGCTTAATATGAATTTATCATACATTTCCTTGATCAAGTACCAAAACGTTTCCATGATACGTATCTACATGATGTTTCAGCTTAATATGAATTCATCATACATTTCCTTGATCAAGTACCAAAACGTTTCCATGATACGTATCTACATGATGTTTCAGCTTAATAGGTAAGTTTGGAGATATTGGTGTTGGATATTACTATTGAAGGTAAGGTTGGAAGTATTGGTGTTGGATATTACTATTGAAGATAAGGTTGAAAATATTGGGGTTGGATATTACTATTGAAGGTAAGTTTGGAAGTATTGGTGTTGGATATTACTATTGAAGGTAAGGTTGGAAGTATTGGTGTTGGATATTATTATTGAAGGTAAGTTTGGAAATATTGGTGTTGGATATTACTATTGAAGATAAGGTTGGAAGTGTTGGTGTTGGATATTACTATTGAAGGTAAGGTTGGAAGTATTGGTGTTGTATATTACTATTGAAGGTAAGGTTGGAAGTATTGGTGTTGGAT